AACAGATATATGATTTGTTCTTGCTGTTGTTATTGCCAAGAAATTCTACTTTATTATTTTCCTGTCATCTGAAAAGCAGATATCCTTTAAATAAATAAATAAATATCTGATCACTGTTAATATTTTTTAATGAATATTTATTTTCAGACTACTTTTCTTTTGCTGCTGAGATAGATTTAGTTGTATTTTTGCTTTACCTCCTTATCTGAGGAGACTAGCCCTAAATGTAAAATCTGTAATATCAAAGTACCATAATCTTCAATATATTCAATGTTTCACTGGACAATGAACACTCAGTTTTATTTACTTTATTCCTAAGTAAATCTGTTTAGATATTTTATAACCAAGTCCTATTCAGTGGAAAATAACCTGCCACTATTTACATTGGCCAGTGGATGTCAGTGTTACAGTGCAAATATAACTAAAAATAGCCACGGATAACTTTGAATAATGGTATCAATGAATTAAAGCTGAAAGAAAAAAACCCTCTTGTTTCTTGATAAGCCATTATTGATGTGAATTGTTACAGCTGGGGATCAGAAAAAAATATAAGCAATTAACCTATTCCACCTGTTGGTTGGGATGGGGTTAATTCCTCTGGCTGCTAAATATAAGGGGAAACAGGTGGTGGTTGAGAGAGTAGCTCTGCCAACCTTCTCCTTATAGCTCCATCCTCTTGATGTGACTGGAAGCATTTTTGTCATATGCATCTACTCATGTGATGGGAAACATCTTTTATTCAGAAGCTACATTTACAGTTCAAAAATATGCATTGGATGCTATTAGAAACTATTCCATAAATACTGGGCAATGAATTCTTTTTTTAGGGTGCAGTGTACTAAAAAGTAGAATCAGCATAGAGTACCAGGCTCACATAATTCCTTGACATATTTTTGGCTGCCTTTTGTCAATAAACTCCTCATCACAAAATTTATTCATTGTTCACTGCCATTACAACACCAATTAATGGAGGAAAAGTGCCAGTAAAACCTCAGCTCTGGACTTGAGGAGAGCAGACTGCTCAGGGAATTAGTAAGTAAGATTCCCCTGGGAAAATGTTTTTTGCGAGTGCTGAGGTCAATCAGTGCTGGTACTGCAGAGCTGGATAAGAATAATCTTTCTTGCTGTTTGTTTCAGATAAAATGTGAAATAAGAAAACTGAGAAGTGTAGTAGAAAAGAAAAAATATGACAATGTAGAAGTTTGGCTACCTAGAAAATTTGTATAGGCATGTAAATTGGATGCTGCTATTATAATTCTGGTTTTCCCTCTTTGCCTGTTTCTTGACATTAGTGCTTTCCTTTCAGTCTCTTTGCATTACTATCTAAGGGTTTTTTACCAACAGACATTTCACCCATCTTTTCACTTCTGTTCCAAGGATTCCAGTGTACAGCAGGCACAAGAATGAGGAACTCCTTAGAGTTGTAGTTTGGCATTTGACCCAAATATTTTACAACAAAATCAAGCTTCTTTACTGAGGGAAATTAAATTTTAGTAAACATATGAACTATAAGTTTCTTTCTGTTTCTCATGTTAGCTGGATAAATTAATGCCCAAACTGCAAAAGTAAGTCTATTCAGGGAAATTATCAGGATACAAACGTGATCTACACAGAAGTATGGATACAATTGCAGTGAGCTACAGAATTGAGTCCCAAACACTCAGTCAGAAAACACAGTCAGTTCCATGGATATAAGAACATTCTATCTATATCAAGAGAAAATGTCTCTTAAATTACCATAGAAATGAAATATTAAAATATGGAAATCAGTGAGACTTCAAGAGTTAGTGTCTTAGCAACACTAAGTAAAATCTTTATAAAAAAGTTCAATTTTTAAATTTATCTATTACACTTTAGCATGCTTAATCTGTTTTCTAGACTTTCTCCATAGTGACTGACAGCTTCAGGAGAGATGAAGGGCCTCCTCATTGTGCTAGTGTCTATGGCAAAATTCTCACTGTTTTCAGTAAGATCAGAACATTTGCAATCAATTTTACTGCAGATATTGAACAAGATGAATTTTGCATTTCAGAGCTTTAAATAGTACAGAACAGCCCTTCCTGAAAGAGAGGGACTCAACAATTCTGTAAATCTTGATTTTTCATACTATTTAAATGTATTACATAAAATCTGAGAGAGAATAAATAATTTTGGGTGCTGCTGTAAACATTTAATGTCCTTACTCAGACAACATTTCAGACTAAAAAATCACCCAGTTTCAGAAATTTTCTTGCAAATTGATTAGAAATTGTAGTCTGCAAAAATTTTAGAAATGTTTGAGGAGGGACATTTAATATCATCTTGCTGTTTTGCACTTTGATAAGCTGCATAAGCACACATGCAACAAAATTTGTCATTGCATATATGAAAAAATCAACTCAACTTTAGAGTTTATTTTAATTAAAATTCAAAACTGTGTGTCTGCCTGCGGGTTTGAATTTCTCTGGTTCCAACTCCCTTGCATGTGCTGTTTATTACATCCTTTATATTAACCATTGCAAGTTCAACCTCCTGTTCGGGAGCTTTACCACTGCCATCACCAGAAAACCTTCAAGGACAGATATTTCATCTCTTTTTGAGTAACATGTTCTGTTGCTATATTACCAATGCTGTAAAAACTTATTCTTAGTGCTCAATCTGAACCTCCCGTGCCATCATGTGTGGCTATTGTCACTAATCAGATCATTTACCACTAAAAAGAGTTTAGCACTGCAATCTTTGCAAGTGGCTTTCACAGAATTGTAGGCTACTGGAACTCCTTAGTTTATTTTTCAGATGAAATAAACCCAGTTTCTTCAACTTCTCACAGTTTATATATTGTAGACCCCTGACCTTCTTGGGCAGCTCTTTTATGGATCTTTTCCAATTTTCTAACACCTTTCCTGAATTGAGTGGATGTGAAGTGGGAAAGCTAGACACAAAATTGCAGGTGCAGCTACAGTCATGCCAAGTAAATGGGATTAATAACCCTTTGATCTGCTGGATACATTTCTCCTAAGGTTTCTTTATTTGTGATGCAAGTACACAGTTGGCTGGTGTTCAAGCTGGTGCTTCCCACAACCTTCAGGTCCTTTCCACTAGAGCTGCTGCTCAGCCTGAATTGATGTATGGGGATTTTCCAGGTGCAAAACTTTGCACTCACTGAACCTCATGAGTTTCTTCTGGAGTAAGTTTAGTTTACTTTCTGGACAATAGTTAACAGCTGGCTATTGTTAACTTTTGAGGTGACTATATTTCTTGAGGAAATAATTGGCATAAAACATATCACAGACTAATTAGATTTTAATTTAAAGTTCTATTTCTTGTGACATTCTGAAAAGCACTATGGAAAAAGAGAATTGAATTTAAAACATCTCTCTCTCATAGCCTGTTCTAGTGGCAAAACAACTCAGTCCTCCCATTCTTATCATTCAGAATTTTTACCCATTTCAAGTAATACAGATATGCATTGAGCTACATGTGTTATGAAGCAAGACCAAAACAGCAAATCTTATTTTCTAATCTCTTCCGAAAAAGACTCTATCTCATGAAAAAGGTATGTCTACCTATCAAAGAGAATTAACCCTAATGTCAAAACTAAATACCTAAAACCTATGTAAAAACTCAGCAAGATCAACCTTAAGCTTTTTGGTTGTTATTTTGGTTCTTTGATTTGTAGAGATTGAAGATTTTGGTCTAGTTCTGATCTCTAGATCTCTTCAGAGTGTTCATATTTTAGAAAAGATTTATAAAATCTTACACAGAGATAAATGTACGACTTAGCTTATATAACTAATTATTTCAAAAGATAAGGTATTCATCAGACAGTGTGTGTGATGGCAGATTTTTATTTCAATAACCTTCAGAGCCAGTGTAGCCTGTGCATGTGAAGCCTAGGAGTGTATGCATTTCCTGCATATTTTAGCCATCAATTCTTAATTGTTCTGTTATCTGCACTCTAAAAGTACCTTTGAACTGGACCAATCTCTCCTTATTTACCAAAGAATTATCTTTCCAGGTCCTCATAGGATCATATTTTACAATTATCCATCTTAGTCAGCTGACAGTGTGAAGGATTTAATTTAAAACACCTTTGTAGAGATATTTTTTTTCTTCTGTTTGCAGACCTTACCTCCAGCTGTTGTATATGTAGTTTCATGCATACGTGCCATTTACTGTTAAAAATAGAGCTTTGTTATTAAAAATAAAAAGCAGAAAAATAGCTATCTTCTGGTCTCAGAATTTAATTCTTCTGCAGGGTTTCTGAGCACTGCCTTACCCTGGCTTTCTCTTCCCATCATTCTGTGCATTAATAGTGTCAGTTAAATCTACTTGAACTCAGGAGTTCCATAAGTCTTCATGAAGGATTGTGGACCAGAAATTAGAAGGACGGCCATGAGCACCAGGCAGCTGACAGCCTCTTTTCCAGGATGAGTGTGATAATCTCTTCCAGCTGTAATTTTACTTATCAGCACCTTTTCTTCCTTTCTGCATTTTGTAGATCATTATCATTGGAGAGCCAGTAATAGTCCTCTTTTGTTCTGCTCTGGTAAGAGAAGGAGCATAATGTATGCTGCTCTTCCACTTCACCTTCAAGCCAAAAGGTATCAGCCAAGGTTTCTCAAAGAAGTAAATCTGACCTAGAACATGACAAAGATTTAGACCATTACAGTGTAAGAACTACACTTGTTGTCTGCTGACTGCTTATGACTATTAACTACCAAGCTTATAGTTTTTATTAATTTTTTTTTTCCCCAGTGACTCTCAGCTGTAGGGTATAGATTTGGGTTTAATGCCTGTGAATCCATTCTAATGTCTACAGTAAAGCTTGAAAGTAAACAAGGACTTAATTCTACCTCTTCTATTGCCTTGCTTCTACTTTGCCAGCACTTGTTGATCAACAAGAGTCAGCCTGGTTGACTTATTCTGCCATGCAACATCTATAGTGCTGTCTCTCAGCAGGAAAGAGCTGTTCCCAGCAGTTTTCCTGAAACTGCAGGAGTGCAGAGGAATGCCTCATCTATTATCTCCAGTGTGCAGAGCCACCGGAGAATGACAAATGAGTAGGATACACAGCACTATAGCTTCTGCATCTTTTCCTAAACTAATGGACAACAACTCTTCTGCAAATGTTCCATACAAACCCAAAATTTGGTCAGCTACCCCTGAGGAGGTAAGTTTATTTTTTTTCCCTTATGGTATCAATGGGATGTGTCAGCTGCATGTTATGTAAGAGCAGTGTCTGTTATACTTTAGAGAAAAGTGCTGGAGAATAGTTCCTCAGTTAGGATGCAATTTTTATTTTGCCTGTCTATCTGTAAGAGCCCATGCATGGATGCATTGGTTTACATATGGTTGTTTAATATTTTTTCATAGGGGAAAATCATTCTTATATTGGAACAAAAAGTGTGTATCCATCCTGGTTGTTTAACTACATTGATATAGACTAAGTGGGACAACTTTACAGCACAGACTGGCCTGTAGTAAGGGATGGCAATTATGTAATTTTTTAGGCAGATGGTGTACTACAAGCCCCAGTCAGCTGTGGGAAAGTTCTGCCTTTGCTTTACTGTCGGAGGAAATCTCTTGTACATCAAGCATGCAAAGGAAGCCACAAACTTTGAAGGAATGCTGTAATCTGCGCTAACTGCACAGGTTACAGTAGGTGATTGAATTAACTTCTGTTGAGTAAATAATGTGTGTATCCCTAAATGGAGGAGATGGATCCTGTGAGATGCAGGCTGGACTGAATGAATTTAGGAGAATCAAAAAAAGAGAACATTGTAGAGGAAAAGTTAAACCAAAAACATTTTACAGGAATTGAATTATACTATAATAAAACTTACTCTCAGAACTCAGAGATTAATGTGACCAGAGAGAGACAAGGAAAGAAATATAAAACTTTAGAGTTTGAATTGTCTATCGTCCAGAATGAGGCTCTTGGCATACACTGTGGAGAAAGGGGAAATTGTAGTACACAAGTAGCGTAGAAACGGGCCACATAGGGCTTCAATGTGCAATTTAGTGCCTTTTTGTAAAAAGCTATCTCCGGTAAGATCGAGACTGTAAGTTTAAAAAAAAAGAAAAAAGCAAAAAGCTGGTAGCGCAACTCGGGTCCGCGGCGCTACGAGGGGGGTGGTGGCCATCTAGTACAAACTTTAATCGCAAACGCTGAGACGTCAATGCATCTGATACATTTTTACTCCGCTGCCCTTCACCTCAGCGGGAACACCTGCTGTCTGCTGAAGGGAGACGAGGGTGGCGGGAGGCGGCGGGAACACCCCACAGCCCCGCGCTGCCCGCCGCAGGGGGCACACGGGTGTTCCCGCGGACCGGCTCCCCTGCCCCGGGCAGCGGGCTGAGGGGCCGCCGCCGGCTCCGCGCCCGCCCCTCTCCGCCTCGGGCCCCGCGTCGCCGCCGCCCCCCTCCCGCCGGGCGGCTGCCGGCGCCATTCCCTCGGCCTCCGCTGCGCGGCGGACCGGGCCGGGCCGGGCCGCGCCGCCGGGCTCCTGCTGCCCGCCCCCCCGCCGCAGCAGCCGGCGGGCTGGCAGCTGGCAGGCTGCTCCCCGCCAGGATGGTTCACCACTCGGGCTCCATCCAGTGCTTTCGGCAGCAGAAAGGTCAGTGCGAACCGCGGCGGTCGCCGGGAGGCCCCGCGCGGCTGCGGGGGCGCGGGGAGGGGGCGGGCGGGTCTGGCCGCGGGGTCCGTGCGGTGTCTCCCGCAGGTTCCAGGTGCATCCCGTGTCCGTGCCCGCCGTCCTGCCCGCGGGTGTCCGCATGCGGGTCCTGCTCTGGAGGCGCAGTGATGCTGTCGGGTGTGTTTGGCTGGGTGTGAAGTCATGAGGCTGCGGCGCAGGGCAGGGAGCCCGGGGGGCGAACCGAGCTCTGAGCGACCCGGCTGCTGGGGGGGGACCCGAGAGGCTCCCGGTCCGGCCCTGACCCCAGCCCGGTGCCCCTTCCCCCGCCCAAGCTTTTCTCCCCGAGTCGCGGTGCTGCTTTGGTTCTCGGCTGCTGTACAGGTGATTCTGGAGATGCCCACGCGCGTGATGTGGAAAGGTCGTTCACCCTCTGGAGTTCACTGAACTTCCCCTGTACCTCCACTGCTGCTGTTCCTAGGTTTGTTTCAGGTTTTAGTCTTCGTATCGTGCTGTTTCCCAAGTATAAATGTTGAAGAAGAATATTAGCTGTAATTGTGAGTGGGGCTCTGGTGTTAAAAATGCCCATACAGCTTTGGTTCAGTCCATGTGTTGGGTTTTTTGTTCGTTTGGGTTTTTTAATTGGCAACCAAAGCTCTTGTTGGTCAGCAAATACAAAGGGGAATTTGAAGTTGGAATAGCCATCGCTATAAAACCTATATTGTGTTCATGTTAGAAAAAAGATAATTCCCTTAATAAGCTTTATTTGTTTTTTCTCGATCCTGGAACCAGTATTTGTACTGTATTTTTTTCTCTCTAATTTTACTTTGACAGATAAGATACAACCAAGATTTCTCTCACTTTGTTCTCTTTCAGTCGTTTTAGTTGTTAACAAACTTTTTTTTTTTCCTCATAGCGTAGTATGCCATAAATTATGATTTGAAATGGTATTCCTTGTACATAAATCATGAGGTCACTTATTGGATTTTGCCTCATTCAAGTTCTTTTCCTTGAATGGTTAGTTGAAAATAAATAATTCAAAGCACTTATTCCATTCTGGTAATCCCATAATAAATTTACTTCCTTGCATTTTTGCATTTTATGCCAGTCTCCTGTGGGGTAATGAGTGGTACCATTTCAAATTGTAAGAACTCTAGTTTAGTCAGGCTCAAATTAGTATAAAAAAATCTTTTTTGAACTGTCAGGTCTGTGTTTATAAAAGCGTTAGGTGACTTCGAGCCACAGCATTAATTATTAGTCTTTCATAAGAAACTATGAAAATATGTCTTATATTACAGAAACGATTTGCAAGCTCCAGAATTGCTGTCAAGGCTCTTCAGGAGCAGTGCAGCTGTTCTGTAATGATCTTTGAAAAACCTACCCCAAAACTAACTGTCAAGTGTTCTAGTTCTGTGTTCAAACTCATGATCAATATGCCATGTGATTGGTGAAACTGTATGTCTGCACTAGTCATAAAACAAGAACCAGGTGGGTTTTGCCATTTACTTTTTGAGGAGACTGTTGTTCTCGTCTTCTTATTCCTGAAGAAATCCTGATTAAGGTGTGTCGCCACTCATCAGATTTTGGAAAAGAGAAGATGCTTTTTATGGTTGACCTTGGCTGGGTGCCAGGTGACCACTGAGCCGCTCTATCACTCCCATTCCCAGCTGGACAGAGGAGGGAGGATAAGATGGAGACCAACTCGTGGGTTGAGATAAAGCAGTTCACTAAAGCAGGAAGGGAAAGTTTGCGCCCGCACAAGTGACGGTTTATTTCTCTGCTTCCCATTAGCAAGCAATGCCCAGCCACATCCTGGGAAGCCAAGCTTTGGGATGCGGGGCAGTTGCTCAGCAGGCAAACATTGTAAACAACAAATGCCACCCCTTCCTCCTCCTTTCCTTAGCTTTTATATCTGATGTCATGTGGTATGGAATGTCCCTTTGGTTGGTTTGGGTCAGCTGGCCTGGTTGTGTCCCCTCCCAGGATCTTGCCCGTGGTTGGGGAAGGAATGTTGCAATGCTGATGTTGTGCTCAGCAGTAGCCAAAACACCGGGGTGTTATCAACACCTTTCTGGCTACCAATGCAAAGCACAGCACTGGGAGGGCTGCTGTGGGGAAATGAACTCCATCTCTGCCAGACCCAATAACAGGATTGACTAACATGAGTATCCCAAACTTCTCATATGCAGTGTGATGTGTGCTAAATGCACGTGAATGGGTTCAGTCTCTGTTTTCCTTGGCCTAAAGCTATTAGGGATGGGGGAGGACAGCTTGAAATCTTGGGCAAAAGGCTACAGCAAAATTAAGCAAACATAAATCATAATCAAGAATTCATCATCTTATCATGAGGTATTTCAAAAAAGCTGAGTATCTGGTACTCTGAAGTTCATAGGCACTGATCTCATGTTGTCTCTTTTTTAATTTCCTGTTTTTTGTCAGTCTTCTATTTAAGATTTATTAGTTCTGTTATTGTAATTTGTTACTGTAGGTGAGATTTTGACTAAATGCACTGTTTGTTTTCTAGCTGCTCACAAAACAGTGCCCTAAATTCCCTTTTTTTTTTTTACAGAATCAGTGGTAATCTTCATGAAATGGCCAACTGCCCATCACAACTGTGCTGTGTATGCTTCACTTGCATTAAGACCAAGGTTCATTTCTTTGGGGGGTTGATTGAAAAGGCATAGTTTTTCTGTGGATTCTCAATCATATAGGAAAGATATACATCAGCAAATCTCATATTTTCTGAAAGCAAATAGAAAATGATTTTAACCTTTTTAGCAACAGAACCTACCTTTTGCCAGGTAATACAATATTCAAACTCAGTTGCTGAAGAGGGGGTAATTTTCAAAATGGGAGAATAAGCTGGAGAGCATTTTTTTCCTTACCTACTCTGAGCATTTTGTTCTAGCTGAGAAGAGAAGTTGTGGTTTCAGTACCAAAGCTGTCTTTACAAGACTTGGAAGAATAAGAAGACCAAGTTCTTCAGTCTCTTGGGTGTCTAAGAATCTACAAGTGAGAGGAGAAAAGGGGGGGGAAGCGCATTTATATCCCAAGGATTTCTTTCTGTTCAGAGTTTAGACAGTGTTGTTTTTTTTAATTTATCTTTTCCCTCTTGACAGAGTGAGGTGGTGTTCAGAGTAGGAGGCTACCATTATGCTTCTTTTTGTCTTGCTCTTTGTTCAGATGGTGTATGCAGACTACAACCCTCAGTTTTCAAAAGCTGCAGTAGAGCTCAACATAGTGTTATAAAAAGACACTGAGAGGGCTGAAAAAATGGATCTCATTCTTCTTCACCCCCACAATTCTTGTTCTTCTGCATGTATCCAAAGATATGCCTATTGAAAAGAGCAGTGTCCTAGAGGTAGACTAATCTGTGTCTCTGCACAGCAGTATGTTAGATCTGTTGAGCCATCTGTGTAGTATTTTGTGGCTATTTTTAACCTCTGCTTTGGCAGAAACTGCTTTTTCTGAAATTAGTTTCCTCAGTAATATTTTCAGATAAAAACCGTATTATTAAATGTATACCTTTATACTTTTT